GATTCTATGTTCACCTTTTCCTTCTACAAGTACTCTCCCTCAAGCTTACTATGCCGCCTATTTGTCCTCTTGATCCGTGCTAGTATTTTAAACCTGGCATTCTCTGGCTGTTGCTATTATATGCTAAAGGCTGGACTTCTTGTTCCTGATGTTGGATCCTCCACTCATAATTAAATCCCAGATACGAATGATTAGCTTTTACCAGGTACTGGCTAGTTATTGACTGCTGATTATTTAAAATATTTAGACTCTTTCTTAGTTGGCGTAATTTCAAATTAATTTAGCATGACTGTTTTATATCTCAGCTTATCATGGCCTGGTTACTTAGATGAACTTTGAATTTATTCATTTCAGAATCTTCTATATCACTTTTGTATAAATCGTATTTTATCATCTCTAATTAATCTTACTGGTTCTAGCACAATTAGATTTTTACTATTTTTATTAGGCAAGCTGTGAACCTTTATTCTATATCTACTTAGAGGCTATTTTTCTAAGAATTGTATACTCCAAGAATTCACTGAATAACATTTCTATTCAAGAAAATCATATCCTTAATTTTATTTATCACTCATCGGGTCCTTAATCTTTTATTTCTTTCAAATAGTCCGGAAAACGTCCATATGATACTGATTTTAGCGAACTTTATTCTCTATGAGTGCCTTTCCTCTCCATGCCTTCATAAGCAACTAAATAAAACTGCATGCCTATCATTAATTAACAAACAAATTAATTTTTTTTGGCAGGATAAATTAAAACAAAGGGCCGACAAACTAGCCGATTCCCTGAGGAATCATCCGATAGCCGTTGCATTGACTTAATTAGATTAATCAACTATGCCATATTTGGCGAGGGTGATTCCATAATTGAGCATCCTTCAGCTTTTTTCATTTTACCCATCATATCTCTGAATGCGTTCATTCCAGAGATTTCCTTCGTCATCAGAGTAGTCACCACCGTTGCAAGAATGTTTGCATGAGTATACTGGCAACGGATATAATACGGTCATTGTTCTTTGAGATCTTCCTATGAGCCTCTTGCTTGCCTAGTTATCCGTTGAATTAGTTAGGTCTGTGTCTACATAAGGAACAAACCCCTAAGCATTCATATAGTCTATCCCTTGTTAGATAAGCATTGAGGAATAAGGAGGGTTTATTGATCTAAATTGACTTTGAGCATCGTTTTCGTTTTTGTTCCCATTTCATTTTAGCCATTGAAGACGTAAATTGACCAAATGAAGGGATTCAGCCAAATGTCGCCCAACTTTATTAGCCCCTCTCGGCATTTCATCAAGCTGGTGAACCTCAGAGGAGAACTTCGAGGTCATCAGGTCCAAATAAAATCGCTCTTTTGAAACAACCTTCTTCTGCATCGTATACTTCACTTCTGTCTTCATATTTGATCTCGTCTGTAATCGGGTCTCTATTCTTCTCTCACCTGCTGGTGCGGCCATCAATAGTTCCCGTCCTTCTTTCTTTGCTAGCTTTCCTTCCAGGATCCTGTACATACTAAACCATGCCATTCCAACTATCGCATCAGCCATCCTGTTTGACTGCCTATCCGCCAACTGTCGCTGCGACACTAGTTGGGAAGACTTTGCTTCGGCCTCATACACCATTAACTATACGAGCTACAGCTTCGAATATCGTAGAGTTTCCGTCACAAAGCCGGCCAGTGGCCATGACGACTACACTCGATCCAAGGCCCCTAAGCCTTGGTCAGCGGACCGCACTTTTCAAAAGCAATGTTAATGAAAGTATCAGCACCTGTAGTGAAAAGAAGGGGTCCATTTTGGCTGTGAGACAAGCTCTTTCTCCAAAAATGAGGACTTTACCTTTAGCCAACCAGCAACTAAGCCCTGCATCTTTGGCTAAAACGAAATTCCTGAGCGCAAACGAGCCGAAGACTACTTGTTCTGGCGACGCCTGGTTGCTGATGAACTCCAGCTTGGCTCATGATCGAAGATTGGTTGGTGAATATGAATCCGGATCAAAGTCGACTCGTTTGGCTGGGTCGAGCCAAAGCCCCCGAGGGAGATTAGTAACAGCTCTGACTGAAACTGACAGAAAGAGTGCAAATACTGCTAAGCAAGAAGGACGTAATGGTGAGGCTTGGCAACTTTCCAGCATTCCAGGACAAACAGTGGCATCGCCTGTCGTGCAGAATCTTAGGCATAAGTCTGTTTCTGACTTGGGTTCGAGCTCTGCCTCTGCCTCTGCCTCAGAGTCAGAGTCCACTCAAGCAAGTAATGAAAGCGATGACTGTACATGGCAGCCTGGCATG